CCCCAAAACCCCAAAACCCCAAAACCCCAAAACCCCAAAACCCCAAAACCCCAAAACCCCAACATCGTGTTTCCAAGTTGATTTTATTGGATAATAATTACTTCTCCTTCCTTGATCCTCTGACTCTTCCGGTTCTTCTGGCAGCAATCAGACCAACCTTTCTACCGTGTGGGGTGTCTCTTGCAACGGTAGCAGGATGTCCAATATGTTGATGGTTACCTCCACCATGTGGATGGTCGACTGGGTTCATTGCCTGACCTCTAACAACTGGGAAGTTCTTCTTCTTAGCCTTAGCCTTGTGGAAAGCTCTTCCAGCCTTAAGCAGTGGCTTTTCACATCTTCCACCTCCAGCAACGATACCAACCATAGCTCTTGAAGAGGATTTGAGAGACTTTCTGGCTCCAGATGGAAGTCTAATTCTAGTGTTTCTTCCACTGACAGAGTGACCTAAGATAACACAAGAGGTTCCAGAGGTTCTAGCGAACTCTCCCTTGTCTCCAGCGGCCTTTTCAACATTACAGATGTTGGTTCCTTCTGGGATGTATCTCAATGGAAGAATATTTCCAACGTTGAGAGAAGCCTTCTTTCCAGCATAGATAAATTGTCCAGAGTACATTCCTTCTACTGCAACGAAAGTTTCGGTGTGTTGCTTGAATTTGTAGGCATCTCTGAAGGTAACCTTGGCCAAAGGAGCACCTCTTCCTGGGTCGTGGATAATATCCTTAACAACACCTTTGATGTAGCCATTTCTTTCAGCGTAATCAAGCTTTCTGAATTGAGCTGGTGCTTTCCTTTTATGAGAGTTGGAGGTGAACACAGAACTGTGTCCCTTCCTCTGGGCTATAATAATCCATTAGATTTCGGCTCAGTCTAAAATTATGGCTTTCCAAATCCAATATGGCGTATATAACATTTTTATTTTAAACTTTGGATGATCTGAACTTATAAATCCAAATTCTGAAAAGAATACTTTGGTAGAAAATTTTAGTTTGTATTCTTCTTTAGTCTCATCCTTCAATCAAGTCATTGATTAACTTTGTTATTGATGTCAAGCTGTGATTCACTTACCTCTAATGACTCTACCCATTTATAAAATTTATTAATAGTTATTATTTAGAAAATGAAAATTATGGGGTTTTGGGGTTTTGGGGTTTTGGGGTTTTGGGG